GACAGAGCAAAACGCATCAGCAGAATGTGCAAAGCCCATAAGGTTAGCATGACAAAGCTGTTTGATGCCATTAAGGCGTCACCAGAAAGAGAGAAACCTCCACAATTTAAATCTGGGCAGGTTGGCAGGGGGTGGAGTGGGGTGGTGGGAGAAGCGAAAATACTGGGTGGGGGGGGGCAAAAAAATATACACAAGTGGACACTTTGGTCAGTGTTGCTCAAGCAGCAAGCAGTTCGCGGTAATCAGAACTGTGTGGATGCTGATGGTAACCACTTTGAGCACCTCTTGTAATTGCAGAAGTCAAACGTGACTTGTATTCATCTTTTGCCATCAGTATTGAGTCCTCCTATTACAGTTTTTTCCTTTCTTAATATGTATATGCATTTTTTGGCACCCTCTGTATAATTAAACATCCTCATTGCTTTAGAGCAGTTATTTCCCTCAAAGTGTCACAAATCCTTATGCACAGTTAAGGTTTGCAGAAGTGTTCGTGTCTGTTCAATAGCACTTCAAGTTGTGCCTGAGAGCTTCTCACTGAAGAACAGCCTGCTACTCCTGGGGCTCCTGTTTCTTTCTCAGCTGTACAGGAAGGAGGGGATGGCGGGTGGAGGAGGAAGACTGCTGCTGCTTTTTTAAAGCTGCCAGGGAATAATCTTCAGAGAAAAGAATCACAGTGAGCAGCAATACCAGTTCATGGTGATTAACAACTTTTTAAAATATTCGCACTTTGGTTGAATCTAAACTCAGCTTTTCTCTTGAAAACAAGCTAGAAGCCATGGAAAAGGAGGGGGGTGGCTTGCTATCTTAAATGACTTTTTTTGTATAGTGTCTTAAGCCCTGATTTCAATGAATGTTAACAATAGAAGTTGATTCACAGAGAGTGCAAGCCTTTGGGGGCAAAGTAATATTAAAATACTGGCAATTTATCCTTTATAAGTGGATGGGGAAGGTCATGTTTACATTTATAAAGGATTTTCCATGCCTTCTAATACAGGGACAGCAGCCTTAGAGCACCCACATGTAGTTTTTTTAGTAAAGAACTTATGGCCAAAGAGTATAGTGCTCCCCTCGGGGTCTGGAGTGCAATGTTCTTGGGTGACTCCTCATCTGAAGAGCTTGCAGTCCACTGGGATCACTGTGTGGTGGACGTGTTGCCCAAGTGTGCAAGTGTGATAAAAATGTCAGTGCCAGCCGGCCCGGCCCCCACTGCACATCCCCCCACCCCCAACACAGGGCCTCCCCACCGCATTAGCACAGGGGGTAAGCCTTCCCCTCCTGGCCTTGCGCACCCTACTGGCCCCTCTCTTGCTCTGCGCTGCTTGGGGGCTGGGCTGGGCCGAGGGAGGGAAGAGCATGTAGTAAGGGAAGCCTCAGAAAGTTCTAAGGTGGATAGCACTTGCTGTCGTGTCACCACCGCTGCCCCCGCCATCACCTGCAGTGGATGGTAATGGGAGGATCAGAGCAAACAGGCTGTGAGACGTGAGGGCTGAGGTGGCAGAGAGAGTGCCCAGATTGAGGAAAGAACAGGCAGGAGGGGAAATGCAGCTCCCAGTAAAGAGAGCAGCAGGGAGTGTGATGGCTTGGAGAGGGAGATGGAGGCAGATGAAAGGCAACGGAAGGTTGCTGGCCAGAATTTTGTGAATGGGACCAGGTTTCCCATCAGCTACTACCTTTTGGGAAGGATATTCCCGGAGAGGAAGATAAGAGCATGTGGCAACTAGGGTTCATGCTTTAAAATCCCTTGTAATAAGGGTCAACGAATTTCCTGATTACCAACCAAGGGACGAGATGAGGGCCAGGAGTACTGTCCTTGCCACCTAGAGTCCGACTGTTCTACTCATAAGTTTCACCTTTACTGTGTTTGGGGTTCTGAGATTTCAGAGGCTCCTGCCATCAAGAAGCATGATCTCCCCAGATCCTCAGCTGTCCAGCTGGAGTGTGTCCAAACCCCCGTGCTGTAGGAGCCAGTAGGCCCAAAGTTCATGTCCTCTTTGGGCTCCTACCTAATTCTTGCTTTGGAAACAGGAACAGCGAGCCCCCCACACAGGCACAGCTGTCATGAAGCCACATGCTACTTGGGCTCAGTGTTTGACTTGGACCAGCAGCTGCACAGAGGCACTGTGTCCTCCGTAAGCCTGGGGATGCCAGGACCTGCAGCCTCACCTGGACATCAGGTCACCTCCCTATCTTCTGGGCCCGAACATAATAATCCCAGCCTCCCCATAAGAGAAAAGATCTTTTTTTTTCTTTTAAGATTAAACACACAGCCTATAACACATTCCTTGGATGTACAGAGAAGCCCCTTCGCTGGAAAAGACAGCAAAAGCCTCTGAGCCTCCCTGAGAATGTGGTTCAGGGAGGCTGGTCAGTTGCTGTTGATCAGGTAACTGATTCATGGGCCTCCAGAAAATTTCGACCTGCTCCCGTTTGGATGAACTCAACTCTGTCAATTCAAAAGGTCTATTGCTTTTCATGCATTAATTCACTAAGCTATTTAGTGAACTAGCTTCTCTGCTGGGTAAAGGAAAAAGGGTCATCTTTGGTCTCCACCAACAAAACCGTCACCAATAGGGGACAGACTGCCATTGGCTATGGCTGCTGTCAATGCTAACTTTTTACAAAAGCAAGAGGCCCCGGGGCTGGGCCGCATCTCAGGGGACGAGAAGGTGCAGCAGCGGTGGAGGGAGACGGGCTGTGCTCCGCCTGACGGGGTCCCGGCTGCAGGGCAGGCCCTGTGGATCTCAACAGCCAAGCCCAGGAACCTCTTTGCCTCTGTTGGTGCCCCTCAGCTGTTCTGACTCAAAGGCTTCCTTTCTTAGTGTCAGAATGGGTAACTGTGTGCTGAAGCAAGAGTTAATTTTGTTGGAGGTTTGACTACCCTTCAAAGGCAGTCTCCCTAAGTAGCTTTAGTCCAGGGACAAATCTATTGAAGGTAAAAGGCAGAGGAAAGAGGAGGCCGGCTGTCCTGGGCCTGCTAGCTGCGCATGACTTTTCCGCATCAGGTAAGTCAGCTTCCTGCTGCGTCTGCCTAGTGCCATGCCATGTCTCTGTACCATCACCTTAAACAAGGGGCTGTGATCTCAGTGAGCTGTGCAGGGCGCCTGACTGAGATGTCAGGAGCCCTGTTAGTTTTCGAGAAAACCACAAACATTCTACCACCAGTGGCCAAGGCTTTTGTCGCATCCTTGAGCCAGGCAATGCATTTAAAGCATGGAAGGAAAGTCCCCATTTGTTCTGGCAAACCTACCATTAAGGCAGCATCTACTGTCGATGAGGAATGCGTTACAATCCACGTGCACCCCAAAGAGCACAACTTTAAACACACTTTTGATATCTTCAGAGAGTCCCTCGTGGCTGGAACAGAGGGGCCAGTTCTTGCATTTTTTTTCTGCTTGTGGTAAGGCAGAAATTACATCAGTTGAACCTCCTGGTGGGACATTCTTCAGTCTCCCAACAAAACCGCAGGTCATGAGCAGGACAGCATTGTACCTGGCTGGAGACAAAGGACGTCAGAGCTGCAAGGAGCCTTGGAAACAGTCTGGATCCAGGATCCATTCAGAAGCCAGACAGCGATACAGATGGACATGGAGAGGACACGCTCCCTGAAGGACATTCGGATTATGCCGCCGAAGCATGCTCACAGGTGCCAGGCAAACCTAGCACATCTCCAGGCTGCACGCTGCCCATGGTTACTGTTTATAATCCCTGACTTCAATCAATGTCGTATTTTATTAAAGTAAAGCGGCCTGAAGGAAATTGGGGCTTATTCAACTCGCAGAGTGAATTGAGACCTGAGTCTCAATGTCCTGTGTTCACTTCTGGCCCCTTTTGCTTCCCATGAGTGCATCAGTTATGGGAGTCAAGAGACAGAGATCCCACCAGTTATTTTCATAAAGGAATTAAAATAAGTATAGTTAACTGAAAGGATAAAACAAGAGAACTCAAAGGTATCAGGAGGTAGAATAGGAAGCAGCTGCCCCTGAGGGCTGGGGGAACATGAGGAGGAGGGTGGACTTATTAAAACTTAGAAGCATAGGGGAAAGGTCCCCCACCGAGCTGGAACTGCAACCCCCAAAGAGGAGGAGCCTCGCAGCGGTTCTGGTGTCTCTGAGCTGGAGGAAAGGTCATGGAGCTAATTACATCAGAAATGTGGGGGACGGGGCTGGGACCGAGACCTCTGAGGTGGGGTGCCAGCATCTCTGAGGGTCCAGCCAAATGAGGACTTGACAAATATTGGGAAAACTGCAAACTGGATTCAGCTACTGCTGCTAGGAGGTGTTGCCACTGCTGGGGGGAAGAAGTAAGGCTGAGGTGATGCCAACAAGAACAGGAAGTAATCCAATCAGCAAGAGGAAGTAGACAGGAAATGTTGCTGATGATGCTCACAGGAAATGTTGCTGAGATGATGCTCACAGGAACAGAAAGCAAAACAGTCAGTTCCCTCTCTCTCCTCCCTCCTTGGGGTCTCCCTCTAGTGCCCTGTCTTGGCAGAGCCTAACTGGAGCAATAGGCAAAGCAAAAATCAGTTCACCGAGTCCCAGCCCCAGCATCCCAGAGCAGAGTAGAGAAGGATGGGCGTGGAGCTGGGAGATAAGTACTCAGAAACTGAGCTTTTGCTCCATTTGAAGCCTGGTCCTAATACTCATCAGCTATCAATCAATTTGGGGAGAACAATCTGGAATCTATGTCCCCCAGCTTCAGGCAAGACTGCTAAGAGGCAAGGAACCAAAACATCTAGGACACCCATCCCTGGACCGAAGTTTTTCGTTCTTCCCTTATGTGACCAAGGAAGTTGCTTTGGTGACTAAGAAAATGAATTGAGGAAGATCCACTTCACCATGGCCGTGCACGGCTGAGCTACAGCCTGGCTAGGCCCTTCAGGAATGCATGAGGTTTCTAGAGCTTCTGGCAGGAGAGAAAGCTTTATGGTCAAGGGCTCAGGAACCCAGAGTTTATATGCTGTAAATTAAATGCAGGGGTTTCTTGTGGTCTTTTTGCAGCTGGCAGGAGAGCCCTTATCTGTATTGGAATTGCCTCTCTTCCCTGTGGACTCTCCATTCAAGGTAGGCAGCTTCATTCCTTCTGCCCAAGTGATCTCAAGTGCCACTCATCTGAGAAATTACTTTTCTTTGTTTATCCCCAGGTGAGGCATGGTCAGGCATAATTTCTGGCACTGGACCATGACAATGACCTTTACAGAGAGACCTGAAACAGCTGTTTACCTGGCAGTTCTGAACTTCAGGACTTGGGAATAGCTATTTCCTGAAGACATTTCACATTCCATGCACAAAGACGGGGCAGGTGTCATCTTGGTCTTGTTTTTCCCAGACTCTGGTTGGCCCTTCTGCATGGCTGCTTATCTAATGCGGATGCCAGTTCTGCCAAGCCAGGGATTCCAAGGGTTATGTTTCCATCTGAGCATCTTCTGCTCGCCTCTGCCAGGATGTAGATCAAAGGGGAGTGAGCAGGGTTGGAGAGTAGAGGAGTCATGTAGGAAAGGGTTTCTGGAAGAGAACTGGCCAAAGGTTCCAGAATCAAGAGAAATAACTCTGATGACATAAAAAAGCCTTCTGGCTTTCGGGCTCAAACGTATCTAAATGCCATAATAAAATCTTCAAGAAGTGAAATGAACGTTTAATACTTGCTTGCTTTCATATCTCACCCCTCTAGCCAGCCCACAATGGCTGGGCTGGTGTTTGTCTGTCTTCCTCTTGATATGGACCATGCTATCCAGGAAGCTCAAAGAACTTCATTTATTTTCATTATATTTCCTGGTATCAGTGACAGACCATCGGCTCATCGCTTTTGGGGGATGACAAGTGGTTCAGAGTACATCTGATCACAAAGAAAGCTTCATCTTGTGGAGGTGCCAGGAGCATGAGTAATAACAGTTTGCTATCTAAAAAATACAGTGTCACAGGGCTTATCAGTGGAGACAAGCCAACACCATGCCTACGAATTCAAGGGAACTCAATTAAAAGTGAGGTTTTTTTCAGAAGGGGAAGTCTGACTAGATAAAACATATTTTAAGCAATCTCTATAATTAGGCATCATCCACTTGGTAAAGAGGGTATGGCAAAATATAGGTAATTCAGAAAATTTCTTCCAGAATTTAGGTTCCTTTTCGTCCTCCCCCACCCTTATAACAAAAATTTCTACTTCAGAATCTATTAATCTGAGTTGTGCTCTCCTTCCTTTTTTTTTTTT